ATTGAAAATGTGATACATGCAAGTAAATGGGTGAGGGGCTATGTGTTCTAATTATCAGTTCAATAGGGATAATAGGTTCCATTCAGGGTTGGATAAAGGGTGGGTCTATTGTGGTAGGTGGGTCTTCATGGAATGCAGTTTCTGGAAAGCAGCTCCAGCAAGCAGAGATAATTATCAGCTGATGCAGCGGCAGCCATCTTGTGATTACTGAGCACGATGCTAAGGAAAGAAAATCTCAAATATAGATATTAGTTCTTATGAATCTCAATAAAGAATGATACTTATATAGTTTTATAGGGATCTAAAACTTAATTTAAGGAATCCTAATATATTTATCTATTTCACTTGGCAAGGGTGGGGGTGTCCTGGGCCAGTTTTGGCCTAATCTTATTTTATGTAAAGAAAACATTATCTTTAAGCTTAAACGTACCTTGAAGGGTCTTCCAAAGGTCAAGATTATTTCTGCCTAGATAGAACTTCAGCACACCCTCTATTGTGACCACAGAGATAAAGCATTGTAATTGACAGAAGGTGATCAGGGCCGAGGGGAGTGGTTGGGGGATTTTTAGGAAATCTTATCGCATACTCAAGAGAGCTACGTAATTTTTTTATAGTAGTATATCAGGGAGTCAGAGGTGGGGTTGCTTCCCAAGAAGACTACCACAGTTTCTGGAGCATATAGCAAGCGGCCTTGCCAACATGCTAAATTGACCCAAGCTTTGTTCCTAGGTCAGAGGGCTTACAGAAGCAGCCTTGCCAACGTGCTGAACCAACCAAAGCTATGCTCAAAGGTCAAAGGCTTAAAACAGATCCTGGGGCCCCACCGAGTTGGACTCTTCCACTGTTCAGCAGTCCCTTCCACCTGGAGCCCCTCACTTTGGACAGATCACTTTCCTCTCTGAGTCTCAGTTTCCCCATTGAACAGGAGTTAATGTTTCTTCCCTGAGCTGTTCAGAAGATCTGATGACAAGTTTTTAATACTATTTTTAAACATTTTATCAGAAGTTTTTTGGAGCCTTACTTTTTGCTGTTAGTACTTATTCAATGAAAACTTTATTTATTTATTTTAGATTGCTATAGGGTGCATGTGCTCGCCAAAGACAGACAGAGAGAGAGAGAGAGAGAGAGAGAGAGAGAGAGAGAGAGAGAGAGAAAACAACCGCCCT